TCTTATTGTTAAACATACAGAACCTACTCTCCTGTTCCACTTTATATATTTTCAAGTGAAATTAAATGAAACCATCAGGGGTTAATGATGAGATCACAGGTTACAAAGTTGATGGGAACAAACAGTGATTTTACAGAGTTAGTCAAGACTGACCAACAGCTTTGCTTTGTTTTCTTTTTCTGTCTTTATAGAAACATTTCCCATAAAGATGCATGAATAACACTGATACAATGTAACTAGATTGATCAGATGAAACATTTTAATGTTTAAGGTAAATAATCACAACTATTGATGTGTTAATGATCATATTTGTCATGTTTGAAATGAGTTTTCGTACAGCTCATTACTGTTGAGCAGGTTTTTTAACTGCTGTTTGAGAAGCTTCATTGGCACTAATATTTGTTTCTGCTCTAGTATCTCTTTGAATCTAATAATAGATGAGCTGCACTGTAGATAGGCTCTCCTCCCCATCCTTTAAAGTCATCAGGAAGTTTGTTGCTTTTTTAACAGAGAGCTGTGAAAGGTGTTGTGTTTCACTTCTCTTTGAAAAGCCTGAGGTGAGGGTCGCAGAGGTGAAGCTTGATGCTTAATTTTCAGTAAATGTTGAAGGAATTGGTTAAAATAATTAGCACCAGTTTGCTGTTTTGTTATTGTGATTCAGACACAGTTGGACTAACTCTGAAGTCAGGAGCTTGAAGCCTCAGCATCATGAGCCGTCCACAGAAATACATAGAAGGTAAGAACATTAATGTGGTGGTAAATCAACAGGGAGGAGAAATATCTACACTCTTTATGAACAATGCTGTTTTCATAGAAACAATATTATAGATATAGATAACAATATTGTTTTAGTTAAAATATCTTAAATACCTTACTTACAATTTTGTCATATGAATATATGAAATACCTCTTTTATGAAGAAAAAAAATTAAAAAGTCAGTGATATTGTTGTGCAATATACACTGTGTTATGTTTCCCTTTAGTCTAATCCAGCTGTGTCTAAGGTTTTATACCAGAAAACAATGAAATTCTATTAAGCAGTGACATATTTTTTACATCTTTGCTCAACTGCACTAGAGTTAGAACTATTTATTAAATGTTTATGTACTTGTGTGTTCACTTTCTGTCTCCTCTAAATCAGGTGAAGCTCTTCACTGTCAACGTGAAAAATCAAACAATGTGTTAAAGCTCAGAGTGGCCGTGCTGGTTGTCTGTGTTCTCCTGGTATCGGCTCTCGTGGTAATTTATCTCTGTGAGTTTGTAGTTTTATTTGTGTAGCTTTACATAAATAACTTTCTGATTTATCGTAAATTAAATGACAATCAGAATGTTTACTATAAAATTGTGCATAAAAAAAAATGTAACTTATGACTTTTTAATTCATCTGCATCAAATGAAATACTTTTACTTCTAATAGCCTTCAAGACAAATTTGTCCAGCATTTTTATTAATAAATTTAAGATTTAAGAAAATACATTTTATTTTAGGATATACTGTATTTTTTATTTTGCTGTATTATCACCTCTTTGCTACGGCAATGAGCGTCAAGTCCTTGCTTCTAGCGCTGTCTTATGCAACCCATAGTCAGTTTATTACAGTCTGTTATTGATTTATCAAGGTTAATAAAACTGTCATAAACTTACAGCGTGATAACTTAAGTTATGACATGTTTCATTAATTGGATGCTGGACACAACCATAAACATAAATGTGTTTTACTCTTTGGTGAACAGATGTTTCTTAACACGGTGTTTTTGGCATAATTTATATGTTTAAGGTCTTTATACTTTGCAAAGAGTAAAATATCTGAAAAAATGTTAAAAAAAAATATTACTGTATGATTTTTTATCTTTTTCTTATCTTATTTTTATTTTTTCATAAGTGTTTGAGCTTTTGAAAACCAGGGAAATGCTCAGAAACCTTGAGCTAAAGCAGGTAACTGTAAAAACTGATGTCACAGGTAAGAATATGAGACTC